CTTCAAGGTGGTGTAGAGAAAGGTTGATGTTGAAAGGTTTGTTTATATTTGTATGCAATTATAAACATGTTTCAGTCCATTTGAAAAAAAAATGTTTAAAAGTGAAGACTAAATTTTGTATATGTTACACATGATATTATAATTTTAAATGTTTAATTTGAATTTGCCGCGTGTTAATCACTACAAAGTAACTATCATTGGTTTCTCTTCATGCTAAAATTTAAAAAAAAACAACATTTTACTTACTGATGTTTTGTTACATTACGAAGTTTATCTCTGATTTATATACTGGTTACCAATGCAGATGACAAATTGATATCATAATCATTCATGACAATAAAACAGAATCCACATGATATATGCGACCATTCTTGAATGAAATTAATATTACTTAAATATTACACTTTTCGAAACCATTTTTATCAGTTTACAATTTCCATTGTCTAAATTTGTGTTTCATTATTCATGTGTTGTTTCCGTATATTTTAGCCACTCGTATTGGGCCTACCCATTTGTTCCGATAACACCCCATATAGCAATCAAATTATAATTTTATGGCCATTCATAACTCTTAACAGACCAATTAACAAACCGGGATTTATACACCCGACCCATTAACAGACCAGGTTTTTAATAAACATTGATTTATGTCACCAAACTACAGATTTTCGTGTAGATTTTTCACATAATGATATCAATATGGTTAACTAACATAATGCATGTCTTTTTTCGATGTTCAAAATATTGCATGCAAGTAAATGCAATCAACTTGTCATTTTGTGTACATTTTGTGTGTGTAAAATGTGTATACATTTATTGATGAGTAACCCGCCTTTTCATTTTATAGATCGTTTATCGAAGCTAGAAAAAAATAATTACATCGCTGGATTCAGTACACTGAATTGTTTTGCCAGACATGAATAGTTTTTATGATACAAATATATTTAAAAAGTTAAACAGTGAAACATACTGACCTGGCAATTATTTTCTCGATAACACCTGATTAACAGACTTTAGCCAACCCGATTAACAGACCAACCGCCCATATAGTCGGATACTCAATATAGATTAACAGACCAATCTCTCGGTTAGCCGAGTGACGGCCGTGCTATTTTGAACATATTAAAAGTATAACATTACTATTATACAGCGGAAACGTGATAGTCGTGGATATTTTGTGGTTATACATACTGCTTGGTCATCACAGCATGGTAAACTTAATTGGTACATTTTTATTTTCATTTGTCGATTTTTGAAACGTATCTAGACAGTCGTTTTTCGTTGGGCATTTTTACTATAGTTATTGTTTATGAACACTTTTCATCTTATGCTAAAGGAAAAACGTTAAGCGATGTAATGGCGGGTGAAAAAATTCTCATGAGGTAAGGTCAAAAATAGCATAACTATAACACAGGGAAATCTCCCAAAATTTAACGAAAAGGCATTTCCGTTAAAAAAAAATGTTATATTTATAAAGGCCTACAAACTGTTCTTCACATGTTTAAATTCACCTTTGTATACCACACGTTTGATTGTATTCCATTTATTTGTACAGTTTTTTCTAGGGCAGTGGCCTAAGGAATGCATATCCAATTGATGGTCCATGCAATCATTATATTGAGATAAACGCTACAAACTGTCGCAGAAATTACCATCCCGATACCCACTTCTGGTAAAATAACATTCATATGTTTGTATTTTAATTCGAGGTAAACTTCATCATTCTGGAGGATAACATTATAATGGTGCAATTCTGTCAATTTGACAAATGAGAATACGGACGCTTTAAACTATCGTTATGTTTCAGTAGTGTTTCTTCCTCTTCTACATCTAATTTTCTCAAACAACCCTGTCCGCTTTATAATATTTATTTTTATCTTTTAACACTAGCTTATGATATTTACATAATACATGTATTACCACAGAATGATGTGTTCCATATCATCGTGACATTCATGTGACCTTGACTTTTGACCTCAATGACCGCTACCTGATCAACACTATTAAAACATAATGTCTCCCTCCGTCGAATGGGAGACATAATAAATGACAATTTATTACATGTATTTCAATTAGTGGATGGAACAGTCCTGTGTATCCTTTATTTCCAGTTATTTAATGTTTCACATATCATATATGTATACGAAATCATATAGGTTTTATTTTTATTTTGTGAGTTTCGGTCAAATTCGCCCTTTCGCCATTTTAAAATGTGTATAGAGAGTTGTCTCATTGGCACTCATACCACATCTTCTTATATCTATAGAAACCGTTTTTTGCAACCAACGATTTGCCATCATAATTATATAACTCCGCAAAATGTCAAATTACTCCCTGCATGATATCCACACCTGTCATCTTATCTCGATTAGAGCATACACAGTTTAATATGACGAAAGGGCGAATTTGACCGAAATTCAAACAATGAAAAAACTAAGATTTCGTAATGCAGATCTGTAGGTAAAAGTTTTGTTTAATATTGTAACCCATCCGCATGCAATCTGTAGATTCCTTGACGTTCTTTTGCTTAGCAAATATAATGTAGTTACAATGTTTCAGTTTTGTATTGTTCATAATGAAATACTAGTATGATCATCCATGTGAAAAATGTATAAAAGTTTAAATGATTACACAAAGATTGAAAAAGAAGGTTATATGAGACAGCAATCTTATGAAACAGATATTTGAAAGAACTACGCTTTAGAGTCATATGAAACGATTTTCATTGTAATTTTAATGTTATAAAAAATAAATAATTAAACCAATGCATTCAAATATACCAAACTAAGTCCTGTATGCACGTTTTTTCTATATTTATTACGAATCTATGACGTATTATCGACAACAAATATTTCACTTTTCCTCACCAGTTGTTAAATGATTTGTTGTATTAAATTTGTTCTTTAAGAATCCGTTAAATTACTATTTACAGTCCTGTCCACGTTTGTTTACATTCTTTCATCACAGATTTCCCCTCGTACTTGCGTTATGCAGTGACAGAAATTTTAATGAGAGGTCTGGTAGTAAAGGTCACTGCATACGGGGAAATATCGGCGAATTAGTGTACGGTAAGACAATAATTCAATAGCAGTACATTGATGAAGATTTTGATAATATAAAGGATTTCTTTTACAAAACAGTTCACGTACACTAGTTTATATAGTGTAAAACTTCGCCATTCAAGTATGTAAAACGTATTCAACTTTAATAAAAATTTGAAGTTTCATATAACTTAAAATGCTGTTCTTCATGTTAAGAATTGCTGTAGGTGTTCGACGATTAGCATTTTAAGAATTTAAAAGACCATCTGTTGTTTTGTCAGCGTCTGCATTGCGTACTCTTATAAATTCGTCGATTCCCCTTAGTTTTAAGACATAGCATAAATAAAATCCCCAGTAAACTATTTTAAACTCATTGCATTCTGTATCAGCAAATCCTCTAAACATTTGTCAAATACTGCAATATTTCGTATCAATTATATATGGTCATTGACGTTGCAGCTTGCTCAAGTGTATACAACTATCCTTTTGTATTATTATGAGACAATCACGGGGACACTTTATATCAGACGATCTGAGGAAAACATATTCAGAACAAGAACAAATTAACAATTAATACAACAGCTAAGTTCTATTAGGTGAGTTGATCGGAATTAACGGTGGGAAATTTAGAATGTGACTAAAGGCATCGGATTTAACGTCTCCATTCTGACTAGACGTGGCTGCGTATTTCTACATCCTGCACTTATTGCCGATAAAAAGACGTGCAAATGAACAGATAAACGAACTGACACAGCAATTACTATGTACCATTGCTTCCGTAAACGGTGGTATTTTTGCGTTAGTTTAGATAGGATTCATGTAAACTTATCGATCCTTTGATTAAACTTATTCTATGAGATTATATGCAATTTACTACTGTAATACGATTTTGAATATTGCTTTTATCTGTACAAACATTGATTTTGTTATCAAACAATTAAAACCAAACAAAATTTGGATGTATAAATACACAGCCACGTCCGGTCTGATTGGAGACGTTTAATCCATGGCTCGTGTGGGAAGAATGTCATGCTTTGTTCTAAAGATGATTTAAATATTTGTCACTTGACGTTAAGCAAACAACAACAATTCACGCTTTCTTTCTGCCGAAAACCTTTGGAACAAATCGTTGAGGGGTCTGTAGATGGCCAATTGCAAGGCAAATTATTTGCCCCTATCTATTAACATACCTTCATTGTCCAGTGACGGTCTAAATTCGCACCCATCATCTCGTCAACACAAATCGCATAACCTACCTTATGTATGTTTTGTATTTTTTTATCGTCCTGAAAAAGCTTTAAATTGTGCAACTGAATGTCAAGCAAGCAAGAAGCAATCAGTCAATCAAAAGGATGGTATACCTCGATGCAGGTCAGATTTATACCATTTAGTGTTAAGCCATTGAACAAACTAAATCCTTTTGTGAAAAATTCGTCGTCGATAAACCAGATTATATCTAAACTGGATAAAATGTAAGATGTAAAATGACCCCTCCCCCTTCACCCCCCCCCCCCCCCCAATATTTTGATAATATTATAATAATAATATTAATCCAGTTGTATTCATTGTCGGTTGCGAAACGAAGAAAGTAATTTAAATTTCGCTTGTTTTATGGTTTATGTTTATAGACGATCATTTTTTTTTCTAACTTCAACCTTCTTCTATGTCTTTTTTTTTTGGGGGGGGGGGGGTCGGTAGATAGCCTTTTGCATGGCAATGTTTCAGTCCTTCTCAGACAAAACCTCATTTTTTGTTTTTAATCAATCAATCATTTGAAGGAAATTTTTTAAGTCTTTTTGTTTTTAATGAGCACTGTCCTAAAAAATACTTATGAATGGTTTTAATGTAAATTATTCGGCTTGAAAGTTTTCTTGTTGTCAGTTTGACGACTTCCTAACGGACAGAATTATTTTAAGAGTTAAGAAACAGTATCAGTTACAGAGATAAAAAAAATATCAGTAATGGACATCAGCCTGATTTTATTAAAAGAGAGACGAAAGACACCAAACAGACATTCAAACTCATAAGTCGAAAAATAAACTGACAACACCATGGCAAAACAAAGAAAAAGACCAAAAGATAAACAACAGTATACAAAACACAACATATTAACGGAAAATATCTTTTTTTAAAACACTATGGATATTTATAAAAACTTCAAAGTTACATTGAATTTCGTTGCTGTCGTTTAGAAACCAATGTCCCCACTCTTTAGCACGCGCTATTTTGTTATCATTGCCTATTATCCAATTGTTATGAATGACATATGGTTTCCAAGATTTCCGTTTAGATTCCGGTACGGAGTACCATTTTCCGTCAGGGAAATCTGTATGCGGTAAAATTAAAGCTTTTAATCCGCCATAGCGTTTCGAGAATAATCTGTTTAAATACACTTGATCATTTTCCCCTTCGGATACCTTTTTCTCTGGTGGCCATGTTTTTATTCTATTTGCTAACTTCTGCATTCTGCTATACAACTCTTGAAATAGTTTAACAGTAGTGTTAGTAGGAAACATGTAGAAAAATCCACCATTTACTGAATTTGTTACCATGCTATGCTTATTGCTATTGTGTACAAACAACATGTCATATTTACCGGAGTATGATTTAAATAACGAGAGCGGACTCCGTAGCCACAGAAAGTCAAATTCAAACAGGAATGTTTCTATACGATGCTCCAGTAATGCTAACAGTATTTCGGTTCTACGAACTAAAAGTCTGATGTAACCCACGTGACTGTAATTTTGATCTTTCTGGAGATATTTGTCGACGGTTAGCACAACTACCTTGATATCAGGTGATACAGACAAAAGTTTCTCCTTTGCTGCTTGATTCGTGGCAATCACTAATACCTACAAAACAAGGTAAATCGTGTACAAACAACAAAGTTTACACCAATCAAGCTACTGAATCAAGACACACACGCACACACACCTACCTTCCGGTCGATCATATTTTCGGTTCCGACTTATTTGAATCTTTTTTTTTGTCGTTCTGGTCTTCAATATGCATGAATGTAATATTTGTTCCTTCAAGTCTATAACGGAATTTCATCATCATTAAATGAGAAAAAGATCTGTTTTTTAGAAATCTTAGTAGAGATTTAGCACGATCATTATTTATGTTTTTTAATTGTTTTGTGTATTTTCTTTTTCCTTTTTTTATTTTTTATTTCTTTTTATTCTATTATTTTTATTATTATATTATAATGTATGTGTAGTATTGCCTATTATAATACCATTATCACTAAATCAAGCGCGTATGCCTTTGGGTTGTTTTAACGACTGGATCATTTGCATACTTTTAACCCACCACGTGTATAGTCTCGTTTCAAGTCAAGAATCTCATTACCAATTGCTGCAATATTATCGCTATGTTACCTCACGACCTTTTTTATACATGTTATTTAAGGAATGACTGTAATATTTATTCTGTTTATGAAGAAGTAACATAAAAAATGTGGCACCACATTTTGAGGTTTTTCGAATAGACAGAAAAAATATTACAGTCTTCCTTATGATTTAATTCTAAATTCCCTTTTTAAGGAGTAAATCATGAAAAAAACGTCGATGACGTCACGGTCACATGACAAAATTATGTCTATGAGTAGATAGACAAAAACATTCATTCAATCAGAAGACGTGTTACATCCAAAATTGAATTATACGAGTATGTCAATCGAAAGCAAACTGTTTACGAAAATATAAAAAATCAATTAGAATACATTTACAAATCTAAATATACTGACCTGATGATGAACTCCCATATGTTTTGTATTACATAACCAATTATATGCTAGTGGTAAATATCCGTCATTTATCACTGTAACAAGTACGGTCTCCTTTGACATGGCTTTAGCTATTGTTAGGATTTTTTCCAAGTCTGTCTGCGGTTGTGTTAAGTTTTTATCGTTTCCAGATAGAAATACCAATGGGTCCGTTTCTGTTTCATTTTTCTTTCTGTGATTTTCACTCGGACGTGGGTATGAACAGTTCCTTGATACAATTGTTTGTACTGCCTGTATATGTAAGGAGTCGTTTTCTACAGATTTGTATTCAACTAGGCAAAATAATATCATAAATGTCATAAAAATTGCGAAAACAAAGTCTTTTCTGTTCATGACTCTCCTAGTAAATTGCACTGTTATACGTGCGATTTAACTATATATTGCTAAAATAGACTCCGAAACTAACTCTGCAATAAAAAATACAACATATAAAGTAAATCGCAGAGTTGAATAAAAGATTAAGAACCAATCTGAAATCTTGTGTCTTCTGTTGTCCCAACATTTTCAAAGAACTATCCGAATTTTAATGGTGTTAGAAGCGGCAAATTCTTTTCATAAAGATTTGTATAAAAATGATTAGAAAATAGTGAAATCGTACATGCCGACAGCATGACATTTTTACCTATTGTGTCTGTTTGTTTTGTTCACGCATCGTTGTCAATATAATGGAATTTGATGCGATTGTCATACAAGTGAGAGGTTTAGCTAGCTATAAAACCAGGTTCAATCCACCATTTTCTGCATAAGAAAATGCCTGTACCAAGTCAGGAATATGACAGTTGTTATCCTTTCGTTTGATGTGTTTGAACTTTTGATTTTGCCATTTGATTGGAGACTTTCCTTTTTGAATTTTCCTCGGAGTTCAGTATTTTTGTGATTTTACTTTTTTCATAAATACATTAAATATACCACTCAATATAATTCATATCTATATTAACTCGCGCGTGCTCGTACATATATGTAGGATAACGAAATCAGAGAACTATATTTTAATTAGATTGATATACCACTGTTCATAGTATAAAAGTACAACCATTTACACTGGCGTGTAATCCTTTCATTTAGGCTTCCAGATGCAGTCGTTATAATTTACTTGAATATCGGACATTTATAATAAATGACGGAGCATGATTTACATAAGAGTTCTTTGTAGTTCAGTTGGGTTTTTTTTTCTGGTAAAGGGGAGATCACTCAAATTTTATGGCCGATACCTATGTTTTAATTTTCAGTTACGTAAATTTTAATTTCCTTTCGTCGGATGCCAAAAGAATGTTGCCCATGACGTTAAGATTCAAATATTTGACTTAAATGGACAAACACGTTTGATTTACAACTCAGTCATGATGATGATGATGATGATGATGATGATGATGGCTGCTTAACGTCCAGCGGCGCCACATTAATATGCATATTCAGGACGAAAACATATTTAATGTAATATGAATATTTACGATGATGATGATGATGATGATGATGATGATGATGATGATGATGATGATGATGATGATGATGGCTGCTTAACGTCCAGCGGAGGCAAATTAATATGCATATTCAGGACGAAAACATATTTAATGTAATATGAATATTTACCCTGCTTTGTACTAGACCGACATGCTAAGCCGGATTTTTAACATGCTAGTTCACAAGCAACAGTCCGCAGGAAAGACATGTCCCCTTACACGGACACATTATTCTGACTCCGAGCCGACCAGTCTTTACTGTTACTCCTGAATGCCGCGTGCTTAGCGGAAAAGCAGCAAATACCAATTTTAAAGTCTTTGGTTTGACTCGTCCGGGGTTCGAACCCACGAATAATAACAATAAACAAATATATCCGTCAACATTATCACTGTCAACCCTAAACAAATATATCCGTCAACATTATCACTGTCAACCCTAAACAAATATATCCGTCAACATTATCACTGTCAACCCTAAACAAATATATCCGTCAACATTATCACTGTCAACAATAAACATATATATATATCCGTCAACATTATCACTGTCAACAATAAACAAATATATACGTCAACATTATCACTGTCAACAATAAACATATATCCGTCAACATTATCACTGTCAACAATAAACAAATATATCCGTCAACATTATCACTGTCAACAAAAAACATATATATCCGTCAACATTATCACTGTCAACAAAAAAACATATATCCGTCAGAATTATCACTCTCTCAAAAAAAAAAACCGATTACGAATAAAAGGCATGCACATACGTCAATGTTACAACGGCCCAACAATACAACATATAAAAAAGAAGCGTGGACGTCAATATATGGTTTTAAAAAAAATAACCGAAATTTGATTGTTTCAAAACTACTTTATACATGTATATAGTTGAGACCGTATTGTTTAATTAAATACTATGGCATTTTACCTCCATTTCATTGATTTTATGATAATAATAAAACTTATATTTTTAAGCAAGGCTTTTATTCTTTAATTTATCATACCCGAATCTTACCTTCTTTCGGGTTTTAGTGCGGTACGTTTAGCTCTATGTTTTTCCTCGACTTCTGGTTTTTGTTTGTTCTTTAGGTTCATCTTCCTTTTATTCATTTGTAATTTTTATTTTATTAGTAAAAAAATATAGGAAATAGCGCACTAAGATAAATGACCCAGCTTCAACAATTGAAGTCCAAGATACAATTGATAAGGAAGCTGCGTAAACAAACAGTAAAAGATCTCAACAAACAGAGAACGTTTACAACTAATTATTTTGCTATACCACTTTGAAGCTTTGAACCCTTGTGAGTCTTTTGATATACCACGTTAAAGCTCTCAGCTGCTCTGAGTTTTTTTTTACTATATCATGTTGAAGCTCCAAACTGCTCTGAATCTATTGGTTATGCTACGTTAAAGTTTTAAACTGTTCTGAGTCTTTTTGGATATACCACGTTAACAATACCATTTGTTTCCGCACCAGACACGCGTTTCGACAAATAGTGTCTCTTCAGTGATGCTCAAGGCAAACATATATAAAAATCCAAAACTTGTTAAACATATTTTATCAATATATAAGTTTTTGACTGCTCTCGAGTTTTTGGCTGTATCACGTTAAATCTCAAAATTGCTCTGAGGCTTGTGAAGAAATTTACGTTTTGTGTCTGTGTTGTAACAGAAAATTCTTTGGGATATTATATGTTAAAAGCTCTCTAAACTGCACTGAGTCCTCCGAAGAAATGTTTGTGTTGGGCTGGTTTATATAAAGATGATCCCAATGATAATTTTCTAAATTAACAAATAAAATAATATAATCAGAGAAATTAATTTTTGTAAGGGTTTACTGTATTAGTACAGAGTAATGTCCGACGTTACCTTCTTTATTAATTTTAAACATGACTGGTTCAGTGAAAAACCATTAATTTTGTCTGTTAAGAATAAATTTCCGCTGTCGCAGAGATGTCCCCGAGTAGTTCCTCATAACAAGACTTAGAAATAAGAAGATGTGTTATGATTGCCAATGAAACAACTCTACACCAGAGACCAAATGACAATCATAGGTCACCGTACGGCCTCCAACAATGAACAAATCCCATACCGCATAGTCAGCTATAAAAGGCCCCGAAATGACAAATGTAAAACAATTCAAACGAGAAAACTAACGGCCTGATTTATGTATAAAACAATGAACGAACAGAAATATGAGATACAGCAACAAACATCAACCACTGACTTGCAGGCTCCTAACTTGGGACAGGCACATACAGAATGTGGTTGGGTTAAGCATGTTGGCGCCCCCTAAACCTTGGACAGTACATATAAAACTTGTGGCATCAACTGAGTTTACGTAAATTCGCAATGTGATGTTATATTACCCTGCATACAGTGTATCCGTTCACTATCAAAGTGTAGAGATGCACATTTTGTGGTGTATTAAACTTAGTCTGTAATTGGTGCAATCTTCGCTTTTTAACGTACTAATAAACGCTCAAAATTGTGCTACATCCACAAAAAATACTTGTCAGTTTGGTGTTACTTGACTTCCTAGCTTGACTCTTTTTTTTTACTACATGTCAAAAGTTGGAAGTAGATTATAGATATAAAGTTTTTACATGTCCTGAAGAAAAGGCCATTGTGAATAATAAACCATGACTAAATTAATTATATAATCATATACTAAAGTACAAGTATGCAAGTTATATATTTTTTCTTCATTTCAGTGATCCATAGACAGGACTCATGACATGTTACTATTGTAGAATGATCCATAGACAGGACTCATGACATGTTACTATTATAGAATGATCCATAGACAGGACTCATGACATGTCACTATTGTAGAATGATCCACAGACAGGACTCATGACATGTTACTATTGTAGAATGATCCATAGACAGGACTCATGACATGTTACTATTGTAGAATGATCCATAGACAGCACTTTTGACATGTTACTATTGTAGAATGATCCATAAACAGGACTTATGACATGTTACTATTGTAGAATGATCTATAGACAGGACTCATATCATGTTACCTTTGTAGAATGATCCATAGACAAGACTCATGACATGTTACTATTGTAGAATGATCCATAGACAGGACTCATGACATGTTACTATTGTAGAATGATCCATGGACAGGACTCATGACATGTTACTATTGTAGAATGATCCATAGACAGGACTCATGACATGTTACTATTGTAGAATGATCCATAGACAGGACTCATGACATGTAACTATTGTTGAATGATCCATAGACAGGACTCATGATATGTTACTATTGTAGATAGATCCATAGACAGGACTCATGACATGTAACTATTGTTGAATGATCCATAGACAGGACTCATGACATGTTACTATTGTAGAATCATCCATAGACAGCACTCATGACATGTTACTATTGTAGAATGATCCATAGACATGACTCATGACATGTTACTATTGTAGAATGATCCATAGACAGCACTCATGACATGTTACTATTGTAGAATGATCCATAGACAGGACTCATGACATGTTACTATTGTAGAATGATCCATAGACAGGACTCATGACATGTTACTATTGTAGAAGGAAAGTGGATCTTTAGACTCATGAATGTCATAATATTGAAGAGAGATATACACGTGGTTCAAGTAAAGAATTGATGTCGAAATTAAAACTACTACAAAGACTAATGAAATTGAAAGTGATAGAATTGACAGTCAAAAAGAGAGAAAATATTCATCAGCTGTAAAGTACCTTCTCCAGAGAGAAATTCAGACAATGGTCAACCGAATGTTAATCAAGATGGAATATCTTCCCGAAAACAATCTTGATCACCCGAAATAAGTTTCATTTCTCACAGCCTATAAATATTTAGACCCGTCAGTGACTATTGAAGATAGTGTTACATTGTAATCAGGGAATAAATATAGTTCTAAGTGCTAGTGCTGAATTGTCAGAAGAACACAGATATTGGTGCGCCTGTCACGACTTGTAGTGTCAAACTGAGTTTTAATTTAGTGTAACCTTATTTTTAAGGTACCCACAAACGCTAAAAATGGTGCTA